TTTTAGAAGTGATATTTCCTAACTCTATTGGATATTTAAAATTATTATGTAAGGAATATAAACTTTAATTCTATTAATTAATTCCGCATTTAATTTATAAATTTATTTTCTTTTAATTCTGAGCCTCTACATAACTTCTCGTTTTTATCTTAATTAAATGAATCTAACCGTCATAAATATTTTTATTGTCTAAATATGTCATAGTTTAATAGAATAAAACTTAACTTAATTAACATAATTTTACTAACATATTAATGAGTTAAATTTTAGATTTTATTTTAGTAAATATTAAAAGTTGACTACCATTAACATGTAATACACACAAAATATTAAATTTTATATTCTTGATAAATTTTTTGAACTTATAGTCTTCAAGTGGTATATAATAACCTTAACTACTATAGCATCGTATTAACAGTAATTATTAGTATGTGTTAATTATACTATATTGCATATATTTAATAATTCAACTTTTTTTGCAAGATAACATATATAGTAATTAGCATATAAAATTATTTAATTTGTGATAAAAATATAAGATGATTAATTTTTAAAATAAAATAAGAACGAACATTAAGAAATAAATTGCAAATTAAAGAAGTGGAACATTAAACAAATAAAGAAATTAATTATTATATAATAAAAAAATATAGGAAAATAGAAAACATAATAAGGGAAATGGGGATAAAATAAAATTTATTATACGCTATAGATGATTTAGAATTGTGACATTGTATTTTTTATTTTTTAAAAATAATTTTTAAAATAAAATTAATATATTTAAAAATAGGATTGTATTTTTGGTTAATTAAAAAAATTTAATAAGTTATTACTACTCATATATCATAATTTAAATATGTATAATAATTATCCATAAATTTTTAGTTAAAATGATAATATATAAATATATTTAAATATGTTATTCCATTCCCATATCTCCGTCGAGCAAGAGCCAACAAATCATAACCTAAAACCAGAGCTCCACCATCTCAGTACCGTGCTCTACAATGGCGAAAACCTTAGTAACTACTACTCGTCCCTACCTTTCTTCACCAACAACAAAGCGTTTACTTTACTCTCTCCCCCTCTTTTCGCAATCTCAAAAGCGCCTTGTTTCTCAAAGCACAATCTTCTTGTCCAGAGGTCAGAATTTACGCTTGTCCTTTTCTTGCAAAAACAACGGCAAAGAAAACGAATTGGTTTACGGTGATAACAGTAGCGTCATTTCCAAGTTATTTGGATATGGACTCATTAGAAATCGTAGATTCAGCACCAGAGCCACTCACGTAAATGATCCTGGATCGATTGACGAATCTCTCATGACATCCATGGAGAAAAAGGTATTAATCTATTTTCCTTTTTGCTAAAGAAAAATTTGAAATGAGAGTCTGGCCTTCTACTTTCTATCGTTCTTTTGCTGCGTCTAGAGACAAAATAAAGGAAGTTTCTGGTCGAGTAGGCTGTTTTTATTTTCTGCTGATTGCATTTTATATTGGTTTATGGTTTTCTCGTATGAATATTGGCGTACCGGGTTCAATTTGCAACGTGTAGTTGGTTAAGCGGATTGGTGATATTATGCTAAAACTCTGTAATATAATCAAAATACTTGACTAGAATCCATATCTATTATTTATGTAGCATATCTAGAAGTATAGTAGAATTCATTTACAAATACAGGTTTAGTTCAACTAGTAGATGATATAAATTCCATTGGTAGGACAAAAAATATTGGTATATATAGAATTGCACATCTAACTAGAACAATATATTTTAAATTTCATCAAATTGATAGAATTTAGAATATATTATTTCAATTCTAACTCAACTTTTATCATTTTAATTAATAATTTAACTATTTTCTAGTTGAAATAAGTGTAGATTTATACATGAATCCTAAAAGAAAAATGTAGATTTTTTTCCAAAATATAGTGTTTAAACATATAAATGTTAATTTGCAAAGAAATTCTATGGTTTCTTTGTGAAATTCATTTTTCAAAAATAACGCACATCATCTGTTTTGTTAACGGACTGGAGTAGGATCTATTGGTTGCATTTAATGATTCCATAATGTCATGGGATAAGAGAGATGCATATCATCTGCAGTTCATGATAATATCTTTATCCTTCGTGTCTTAATGTTTAAAACTATCACCGATTGACCTCTGCGCACATGATAGGCCCCCTTTGTGGGTATCTAATTGACTAGAGTTCTAGTCTTTCTGAAATCGCATTAGAGCTAGAGCAAAAAAGATGTTTTGAGTTAACAACAGAGTTTCCCTTGTTTCTTTTGAAGAGTATGAGAAGGTTCAAATGAGGATGATGATTATGAATATTGATGGTGATAATGAATAATGGTAATGAGTACTTTAGATTTTCATTTTCTTTTTGGACAATCGGATTGAGTTAAATTTTACCAGCATTATTCCATGGAAGGAATGGCATTTTGGCTCCCAGTTATATAGGAAATTAAAAATTGACCAAAGTTGAAACTTTGATGGTTTTTCTGTTGTTTACAATTAAAATACACAGTATACACAATCCATGGCCAAATGCTTTCAATACTGCTATGCCTTATTGCCTTTTGCCTTTCTCCTTACCGATGTGAAGCTGATTGTGGATCAAAAAGTAAGAGAAAGTACTCTATCATAAATTTTATTTAATGGATTGATATGGAAGTATGGAATGAGAATCAAGGAAATGGTCCACGGTCATCCTCTCATGCAAAGGTAATTGTTTTCATTCCTCTGTTGCACATCTCATGGTTGAACTTGGTTGCTCTTGATTTATCAAACTCTCTTGGGATCTTTCCTTTCCTTTTGCACCCTCAGCTCCTCCTCTACAGCTGCTCTGTCCTCATTGTGCAACTCAGGATATATGTCTCTCTCTTCTACCTCCAGGAAGTCAAATGTTTTTGCTTGGTCTCTTTATGCTCTCCTGTTTTGAGGAGGATATCCTAACTTCTTATTCTTGCTTGCACCAACTTTCTTTCTTTATAAGAATTTTTTTTCTTTTATCAAAAATAAGAATCTGGTAATCAAGTTAAAGACATCAGTTATTACATTTAGGTTCATGAATTTGTCACCATCTGATAAATTAGGGGAAACCTCTAGACAAGTGTCAGGGACTTCTTTGTAAAATATTTTCTTTCATATAGATGATAACGTCAAATTTCTAGAAGGATCTGCTCTTATTTTTGTTTGTTGTTATTTGTTGGGATTTATTTTGCATGGCAACCTGTATAGTAGGACAGTAAAGTGTTAGATTTAATGTTTCAAAGTTGATTTCTTTGCTTCTTTTTTTTTTTTAATATAATAAATAATTGCAACTTGCTTGTGCAGATCAAGGAACATCTAAATGCAGAGTCAGTACAAGTGAAAGATACTTCTGGGGATGGTCGGCATGTAGTGTAAGCCATATTCTAAGTGATATGCCTTTTTTTCATCTCTTCCTTCTAGCAATGCATTGTTTCTTCCCTAGTTTAACTTTATATGTAACAACTATTGCAAAATGGTCTATGGAGATTTCTGAAATTGCTTGTTTTCCATGGTCGCCTAAGAGGATATTTGAAAGGAAAAAGAAATAGAAGTAGAGGAATAAAAGTATGCAAAAGAAGGTAAAGGAGAGACCAAGGAGAGACAGAGAAACCAAGTGGAGGTAGATGAATTTGGTGATCATCTTGTTAACACATCCAACCAGGCTTATAGTTAGAAAGTCCTTAAGATATGAGGCACTTCTAATCTTTGGAATAAGCACCAAAAGGCAGAAATGATGTGACAGGTAAGTGATTGCTTTTCAAAAAACTCAAAGAACATGGTATGAGCTCTTCCTTAAAGGTGGCCCAATTTCCCTGCATGAATGCCATGGAAAACTGCTGGACCTAGTGCCTTGGAACCTTTACAATTTCATGAATTTCAGAATCTAAAAATGCCCTCACAAGCTAGTCTCTATCTATTCCATCCAAGGAGTCAAAAGCAAGACCATTAACTTAGAGAAGAAATCTTTTGCTTCATTTCTTATCTTAGTATTCCTTCAACGACCCTATGCCATTGACAGCTGACTTCTTAATGTAATTGCATCTCCATGGTGACTCACTATAATATGAAAGAATCTCGTATTCTTCTTCCTTCCTTAACCCACTTAGCTCTAGATTGTTGCTTCTATGCAATTTCCTCTATAAGCAACAATTTGGCAATCTCTTCCTTTTCTTTTTTATCTCTTCTTATCCTCTTAGATAACCCAGTCTACCTTTCCATTTTATCCACCTAATCCACAATATGCTTCAAGTTTCCATCGCTTGCTCCAAATTCTGATGTTCAACTTTATGTATTGAAGCCACTTTGCACTACTTGTCTGCAAAATTCGCTGTTGTGTTACTAACACTACTGTTCTTCTCACCACTTCTTAATTAGGTTTGAATACTTCCAATCCTCAACCATTTGGTATCAAATCTAAATGGCAAGGTACTCTTCTAATGCCACCTAGCCACAAAGGAAAAGGCTAGAAATAAATGCGACAATAATTTATGCATGAGGCTGGACACCTGCAACTCAAAATAAGGAGACACAAAAGTTCAGTTCATTTTAAAAAAGTTTGGCCTTTCTCTAATTGGAGTTAAACCATGTCCACTTCTTTTTTTTAAAAAAAAACCATGTCCGATTTTCCCTAAATCAACTGAAGATCAATGTTGCCATCCTTTTTGTAAACACCCATCCCCCATAATACCTTGGCAAGATCCCATCTTCTATTTGCATCCTCAAGGCCATTCCATAATAATCCTACACTCCTTCCCTTCTCCCATACAAACCAGTAACACCCAACACCAACCCAAAACCCTAAATTTCATCTCATG